TTCATATAATAACCGTTCGAGATGCCATTGAGGCCTTGAAGGGAGTTCACAACTACATTAGGGATGCAGTTAATATAGAAGCCCTGAAGATGGAAGATGTACGTGATCATGTAATAAAGGGCCAAGAAGCACCCCAGTATATTATATCTGATGTGTCTGCGAAACTTCGCCAAGATGCTGCAGGACATACTGCGAAGGCCGAGAGTATTAAAGGAATGATCCGAAACATCAGAATAAGGAAAGAAGCAGTACCAGCATTGCCTATGACAAGAGAGAAAATTGTATCTCCCGAGGAGTACAAGGTAACTAAAGAAGGTGAATCTTGCTGTTTGATTCAGGATCGACAGAAGATAGAATCATTATATTTTCCACCGCAAGAAATCCTCGGTTATTGGCTTCATCTGAACATTAGTGTTGGACGGAACCTTTAAAACAGTGCCTCATTTGTTTTATCAACTCTAAACACTGCATGGTATTCAAACGAACAGTTCAATTCTGCTTTTGTATGCTCTATTATTAGACAAGAAAGGGGTCACATATGGAATACTATAATTTTGCAGCAATAAAGATTGTCCGTGAGTTAAATGGCAGCGATTGAAATTGTCTCAAATTGCAAACTGGAAAGGCCAATTGGCCCTGTCTCCATTATGCGCAACAAATTTTGACATTTCTCGCAACGAGCCTGTAATTACACAGTCTATGGCGGTTTTCATACGGCACCTATTTTATATCGCTTTTCCGTTCAGGAGCGGATGATAAACCGCCGGCACTGAAGTGGCTATGCCTAAGTTCAGGGAAAAAAATCTCGCATGAGCCAAGCCTCAGAAAGCTTCCACCTGCACTCTCATGTGGCCAGAGTTTTAGACGCCTGGTGTCGGTAGACAGTGGCCAAAACCATTCGATAAAATCGAATGAAATGGTAAGCACGAGCAAAATGGCTCTTATTCACTGCGTGCGGCTCAAATCTAACGCCGGCGCGATGTCTCACGTTTAGTTTGGATGATCGAAGGAGGTCAGCAGGAATGAGTTTGTACTCAATTACAAGACACTGGCACATATGGAAAAATGAACAGCGTGAGATGTATGACAGCTAGTGGCGATAAATTTATGAGGCGAATGTGGGCATTGAGATTTACTTCATTACTTGTTTAAATTTGTTTTGAACACGAAGCGTAACCGACGCAGGCAACTAATCTGCGAGGAATTTTGTTCCATTTTGCAATAAATTTAATAATCAAATATTAGCTGTTTGAATACATTACGGTTAGATATTTTGAGTATTGATTTAGGCTCAGCTACGATGTAACTTCACCGAACATGGACCTTCGTTTATTCGCTAAAACGTTACGCAACTGACAGCAGTCACACTGTTAAAACCATGGACAATCATAATTCAGAAAGCAAAGTTCAAATTCCTGTTATGAATGCAGTTTGATGCAATCAGACAAACAATTCGGCCATTGCCTTTTCTAGCATCAATCAAAATGACTCCTGCCAGCTGACAAGTTTCAGAGCTGAATTCTTTTGCCATTTAGTTTGCGGACTGCTTTATTGCTTACATTGCTTCAATTTATGCTGAAAGACGCTAAGTATCAATTTACATCGTCTCTTTATGCTTATGAATGTGAATTGTAGAGTGTCAGAAAGTTGAGAAAAAGCCAAAGAATAATTCATTTTCTTGTGCCGAACACTCCTCGCCATGAACGCCTTAATAATGTTGGCAGTAAGTCATGGAGTTCTGGATTCAGGAGCTGATTGAACATTGTAGGATGCTCGATTTGCCAAATGCAAGATGCGTGACAATCTTGAATTTCTTGGTGATGAACTACTTGTCAAATTCGCTACAAACGATGCAAATCAAATCTT